CCCCAAAACCCCAAAACCCCAAAACCCCAAAACCCCGAAGGAGTGTATTTAAGAAAATTAATGAAATTAACAATAATAGATTTTGATAAAACAAGTCTATATATTTATAAAATACTTTCAGATATTCACTCCGAACTTAGTTTTGGAGAGCATAGATTCATTCCTAGGAGTTGGATAATCAGATTGATTTTTATTATGATCCCACTCTCCAAAAGATGAATTTCGACTTCGAATTAATAAATTATTCATCTCTTATAAATGACCGAATGCTTTACCATTAATTTGAGCTTGTGCATCTACTTATATTTTAGGAGGTTATAATCTTTGAAATTAGAGTCTCGTACCTCGTATATGATTGATAAAGGATGTATTCATATTATCTTTTATTTGCTATTATCTTGATAAAGCTGAATCAAGGATTATTCCTTAAGTATTTTATGTTCCTCTTGACTAGTTTTCTTCCTCTTGAGTGCTTTATTAAGTATAATTTTAAATGGTTTCCTTAAATTTCTTCAATATTGGCCTTCTATCAATTATAGGCTCTAAATAGGTCTGATTCATCACTACTTGTGAATTGATCTTTTACACTGAGAGTTCTGGAATCGGATTTCTATTATTTCTTTTCGTTTCATGAATTTTCATCAAAGATATGTTGTTAAATTTTGGCATCTTCATTTATCTATTATTTATTATTAGTTGCTAGTTAATTGGTATTTTTTCGTCAGCAAGGCTCAGTTTATACTTTGATAAAGATGAAATATGTTGCTAAGGACTCATATTTTTACTTTCAAGACTTGAGTCCAGAACAAGTTAAGGGCTGAAGATGTTATTATTCTATAAATTATTTTATTTGCAATTTTTATTATCTTCTTAAACAATGTTCTTTTACCCAAGATAGTTTGCGTTCGCACTTCCATTGATTAGTTTTTTTTATTCTAGTTTAAGTGCTTTAATTGACGAATTAAAATCTAAAGATTTATTCATTTTAGGGGACTTTTAATGAGAAAAGATATTCTGGTTTCTAAAATTAGCTTAATTTGATTAATTCCTTAATCTATAAAATTCCATATAGGTTGAATATTGCTAAAGGTCAATGTCTGAAAGTTTATTTTTAGAAGTGGACTGATAAAATTTTGATTCAAGTTATTATCCACTCGTTCAAAGTTCTTATGTCGATTTTTTATCAAAAGGCTCAGGTTCTTAATTATTGATTAAATTACTGTAATTTTATGTGGATCTGATATTCGGAAAAGGTACACTATTGAATGATGTTAGTTGAAATCATTCTTTGTTGCTGGTAGCAGAGTCTATCTTATTAAAGCTTTGTAGCCTTATCTTCTTCTAAACATCCATTATCTAATAATATAAGTTGCTTTAACCCATATTATTTTATCCTGTTCCGAAAAGATTAGAAGGTTGCATCGGAAGATTCGGATTTGACAAACCAAGATTTTGATAGTTTCTTGACTAATTTATTTCTTGCACAGGGAAAAGCATTAATTCCTCTTCTAATCTTTTCTATCTATGGTTTTTCCTATCTTTTTATCTATATCTTAACTTTGTCATATTGAATTGATTTGGCAAAGTTCCATTTGAACCTGAGAATGAGTCATCAATAATTGATATGTGTCTGTCACTCTTGAGTTTCAATTTAGATCTCATATTGCCTCTCCTGTGCATCTCTAGTACCCGTGGATCAGGCTGCAGTTTCTCAATCAGTTGATGATAAAGCTGCTTTCACTCCCTAGGAGTTAGGACCATAGCTCCTTTTTTAGCAGCCATATCTGTTTCATCAATCACAAATAAATTGTTTTGATTGCTCTCCGAGGACATTTATTATTAGCTGATTATCTAATTTATAAAAATATATATTTTATTATGACTTCACTTTATCCGATTTTTTTATTGTCAATTAGCTCAGAAGGGGTTTTGGGGTTTTGGGG